TAATAGTGTGTGTGTGTGTGTGTGTGTGTGTGTGTGTGTGTGTGTGTGTGTGTGTGTGTGTGTGTGTGTGTGTGTGTGAGATTTTGCATATAATAAATTATGAGAAGCTATTGTCAATCAAATCATGCAGATTAAATTCGTAAATGAAAAATCTTAAGTTCGAATCCCGATTGTTTCGTTAATTTTTCCGCTTTCTAGAGGAAAAAGTTTGAGTATAGCAAAATTATTTTGAATATCTGTTGATTTGTTTTAGATTTCTATATCTGTTATAATAAAAATAATTTTTTATTGATATTATATATTGAAATAAAGATTAAAAACAATAAAAAACATGACTCGCTTTGACAAAAATTAACTTTGTTGACACAACTGAATCACTGGAGGTACAAGTTCGAATTTGATTCGTCGCTGTACAAAACACAAGTAACGAAATGCAGCATAGCCGATAATTCATTACTAGCAATAATTTTTTTAAAGCCGATCCTTTCCATTTATTGTTTACTGAATAATTCAAAATCGAAAAATCATTCAGATCTTCAAATCTTGAAATCTTCAGTTGTGCCTCGGAGGGTAATTAATGGGTAATTAAGAAATTAAATATTGCTGTAACTAATAGATCGAGAGTGATGCCTATCAAGAAGATCTTGGCTATTCGCGAGGAACAATTGGTAAGGCTGGCACTGGTCGAATCAGGTTACCACAGATTGATGAGAAGACGAAAGTTAGGATATCTAAGACACTTCAGAAGAATTTGCAGAAACAACAGCAATGGGGAGGGAGTACTACTGTTAAGAAACAAGTCTCTGGTACTGCTTCCAGTGTAGCTTTCACTCCTTTACAAGTACGTACTTTTTTGATATTTTATTATTACTGAACATTGATAAATGAAAAATATGTAATATATTTTTTATGGCAATTTCATATATTTGTAGGGCCTTGAAATCGTCAATCCACAAGCTGCAGAGAAAAAGGTGAATGAGGCAAATGCAAAATATTTTTCTAATACAGCTGGTTTCCTAAAAGTAAAAAAGTCATAAATGTATATTATAATGAGAAATATAAGTAATTATATATTTAATATTTGACTAAATATTAATTGTTTAATTCATTGTGCAAAATCTCACTGAGGTTATTGTGTTAAATATGACATAAATAATTTTAACAGTAATAAATTATTCTAAATCTAAAACAATGGTGAAGATTTGTTCAAGTTTTGATTTGAAATCAATATAGAATGGTTACAAATAATTTGTTACAAACGATTTTTTTTTTCGAAATAACTAAGATTGAACTTTTTTTTTTTAAGAGTGTGGTTTACTTAGTAATACAAATGTTTTGAAACATTTTTTATTGCTCATTTCGTAAAATTCCTTGTTCTGATTAGTTAATAAAGCCCTTCGAAGCATTTGTAGCACCAAGTGGGTTACCTAAATAGGATATGGTTTGATTTGACATTTAAAAAAATTTTTAGTAAATTTTTGGAGAAGGCAAAGGAAAGACTCATTTTTAAATGGAATAAGATATCCTTTTTTTTAAAACTAATGTAAAAGACTTCAAAAATAATTACAATAAGGAATGATAGTAATAAGAATCGGTGCACAATGTGCTATTTAATTTTTTTTTAAATTGTTCCCGGGCGGGAACTATATTAGTGCCTTCAACCTCCTGGGACTTTGACTATGTAAAGCTGTGTTCGTAAATTCACTGCCAGTACTGAAAACATATAGTTTACGTGACGAATTCTATAAATTTTCAGTACTGGCAGTGAGTTTACGAACACAGTCTATGTATGGACTGCCAGTAGGCTGCATATCCTATAGCACTATTGAGCGAAAAATGTTGCCAAGTACAACGGAGTTTGGTTAATTTAGAATCCGCGAAATTAAGTCAGTATGATACTTTAATATTAATTTTTATATTAATTTTTATATTAATTTTTATATTAATTTTTATATTAATTTTTATAAAAATGCACGAGAAGCACGAAAAGCAGAGAAAGCACGTTGTTTTCCAAGTGTGCAC